TGTGTGCGTGTGCGTGAGTGTGTGTGTGTGTGTGTATGTGTGTGTGTATGTGTGTGAGTGTGTGTGTGTGTGAGTGTGTGTGTGAGTGAGTGAATGAGTGTGTGTGTGTGAGTGTGTGTGTGTGTGTGCGTGAGTGTGTGTGTGAGTGAGTGAGTGTGTGTGTGTGTGTGTGTGTGATAAGTGTGTATGATAAGTGTGTATGTGTATGTGTGTGTTTGTTGACGTGTTTCTATCTTGTTGTCTGTAGCGTGTCCATCAGTACCCATGAGCGGCAGCACTTTACCAGGTAAACCGTACAAACACACACAGTCTCTGTGAGGATGTTTACATGTTTTATTTTCTGGTTAAGCTTTCTTAAATATTCTGAGGCCGTGGCCACTGATGACAAGATGTAGAGAAAGGCTCTCTCTAGGAAACGCCCAGCAGTGGCTCTTCAGAGCAGTGTTTATCTAGACCAGGGCTGTCCAAACTCGGTCCTGGAGGGCCACAGCTCTGCTCCTCCAACCCTAATCAAACACACCTGATCCAGCTAATCAAGCTCTTCAGGATCATATGCAGGTGTGATTTGGAGCTGGTTGGAGCTAAACTCTGCTCCATGTATTCTCCATGTTCCTCCAAATATAATTTTTCATATTAATATTGCTGTAGTCTGGAGATGTTATTCATGCCTGTCATCCCTCTCGTTTTTCTCTGTGTTCTGTCGATTTATAATACCCTGTCAGGTTTTGCTACCTCCCATTAAAACAGTGGGTAGTACAATTCGACAACGAAAAATGCTACCTGTAAAATTATGGTTTATTAATGTCTACACCTACCCCAACCCTAAACCTACCCTTACAGTAATGCAGATACATTAAATATTGTTATTCAGCATGAGAAAAAGGATGCAATATTGATGTGCGCATGCGCAGTAAACGCTGGTAGGACAATCTGTATTTTCCGTATTTTACCATTCTATCCCGCTATCATACCGTTTAAATATTTTCCCGTATTTTTAATCTTACTATAAAAAAAATCCCACTGGGTGTATATTATATGTTTGCTACATTCGCTTCCGGTAAAACTCCCGTAATTTGTACGGGCCAAACCTCACTATATGAATAATCACAACATCAAATTCCAAGGTTGGCCAGATCTTGCATGAAACGCATCTTTCTCACACAATCAACGCATACAAATTTCAGCCCATTTGTCCCCTCAGCTTGGCAGCCTACAGCCCAGTGATGCTACTGATGTGTGCGCAGGGAGTACCGCGGGAAGGAAACAATGATCACTGGTAGAAATGGGAGGAGAAGACTAAAAAAACTAAATATACATGTAAATTGAGATATAGCTTACAGTTCAAAAGGCTATGGTTTAATTCAGGGGTTCTCAAACCTCTCCATGAAGTACCCCCAGCTCTGCACATTGTGTATGTCTCCCTCTATCTGACACACCCACGTCAGGTCTTGCAGTCTCCAATGATGAGCTGAAGAGTTGAATCAGGTGTGATTGATGAGGGAGACACTAAATGTGCAGGGCTGGAGGTACTCCAGGACAGGTTTGAGGACCACTGGTTTAATTGATTAAATATGAGCGCTGCAAGTTTCAAGCGTTGGTTACTGCGGTTACCGGGGAAACGGCTATATTCCTGGTGAAAAGCGCCACCTGCTGGCAGAGAATGAATTTGCATTTTCTGCTCTTTGTTTAGACCAAAGCAGAAAACACGCAGTTGTAAATGTGAACTGGTGGATCGACAAAAAGATAATGAATTATAAAACTAAAGATATAGCCTACACTAAGATATATTTATGTTACTAAATTAATATAATTGTTTGATAATAATTGTTTAAATTAATATAAAAATAATATTTAAAAGATTTACTTTTGACTCCGCCCCCCCACCCCCCACCCTGCTTTCCCGTATTTTGGTACCCACATGTTGACAGGTATGGTTATTAGGCATGGATATTTGGAGACCAGCCATATTTGCCTCTTCTCCATTATTATCATTCAGTCGTACAAGTAGAATGTGAAGGCGGGTGATATTTTTCCCGCCCCTCCACTGTGATTGGACGCCGGGGTAAAGAGTGACAGTGATGAGTGCTGCATTTTACCCAGAGTTCAAATTGCACCAGTGTTGTGGCCACTGTAATGCACTTAATAATGGGTTGATGTTTATGTGGCATCATCTCCATATGACTGGATGCTGCTGAAGAGGTGATTGCTGTGGTTGACTGATCATGAGAAGTATTTTCTGTGCTGCTGCTGTGTGTCAGGGTTCAGGATGATGGAGACGTTCGGGCTGGTGGAGCATCTGTACAGCAGTGTGAGCGGTGTGTCCATGGAGCCGGGGACCTTCAACAGCTACAGCAGCTTCAGACTCGGCAGCGACGCGCTCGTCACACAGCCCACCAGGTGACGTCTGATTCCCGCTGCTCAGGTCTGACGTCAGCGCTGCACATGAGGACTAGTGAATGCGGGTTTAGATTCACGCCACAGTCACACCAGACTCTGAGCATGTGACATTTCTACAGACGCTGCAACGGCCACGTCTTTTTAAAAACATAATCAGCATATAATACATCCAAAATCAGGGTTTCTGCAGGTATTAAATGAAGTCTTAATTCATCCTTCCACATATTAATGCTTTAGAAGGTCTTAAATCAGATCAGAAAGTCTTAAATTCAAGTTCAATTTAAATTTTTATTAAAGTCATGACATTAAACGTTGCATTAATGCAAAGAAATTCCTCACTATTTTTGTTTTTAAATCAACAAACATTTCAAGATATAAAGTCTAGTTTTCTGAGAAATGGAATAAAATGACATGAGTATATGCTTAAAACAAGAGCTAATATCTGTCAATGGGGGGCACATTTTTGCAGAAGTACAGTAAAGGTTATTACCATGTTCTAGTGTTTGGGAGTAGAAATATTCAAGCCTTACGCTATTTGTTTGTAAAATGGGTTAAAAAGTAATGGAGATTGTATTTTAAAACTCTTAAATGTTGTTGCTAAAGAACTCTTTGTGCTCTCTAGACATTTACATTTAGAGAACATATTGACAAGTTGTGATCCCTTCAATTCATTCCTTACATTTTCTTTACCTGGTCTTTCACCGTGTCCTAACCAGATTAGATTAGATTCAACTTTATTGTCAGTGCACATGTAAGGTACAAGGCAACGAAATGCAGTTAGCATCTAACCAGAAGTGCAATAAGCAGTAAGTACAGGATATACAGTGTCTACAATGTTACAAATGTACAATAAATATACAGATAAGGCAGTAATATGGACATAATTGACAGATTTTTAAATACTATCAGCATGATATACAGATAGGTGTACTATGAACATACTATACAGATGGATTATGTAATAAGTTTATGTACACTATAAGCAGAACATATGGACATCATTTACAAATGAATATGTATAAGCGATACATCAAACTGTGCAAAACTCTAGTGCAATGGACATTAAAAAAAAGTGCATAGAAAATATTCCAGTGTGCAAATGGAT